ACAAGCAGAGACAGCAGCTGGGCAGCAGGCTGCTTGGAGCCACGGTGCAGCTTTAGAGCAGCCACGGCAGGAAGAAGGGTGACAGGTGGAAAGAGATGGCGGGGAGGGCAGAGAACTAGACTCTGAGGAACTGCAGAAGAGAAGCTGCCTGCTCAGATTGCCCGTGGAGTCAAGTCCCCAGGGCCAAAGGTGTCAACAGCCTGGGCTGAGGGCAGTAACTCCGGAGGCCACAGGAATCAGGGTCCTCACACCCCAGGACCTCCATCCGGGCTCTAGTACTAAAGGTGCCACGGCTGTTGCTTCCAGCTGCCTTCTGCCACGGCTGCTCCCCTGCTCAACACTGAAGAGCTCCCCGTTGCCTGCTGCCCATGATTCCTACCCAGGTGAAGGAGGGGGGAAGATAGAGCATACAACGGGGCAGTGTTTTCAAACTATGAGTTTTTACCCACTAAGGAATCATTAAATGAAACTTGTAGGTCAATACCAGAATTTTCAAAGCAGTGATAGGAAAGAACCAAAAATAGCAGAATGCTTCGTGTATTAAGAGAAAGTACTATTTTGTGAGATACTTGTCCTGGTTACATATGTTTGTTTGTGTGCCCACACACATCATTTCTCAGTGTAAAATATATTTCTGTGCTTAGGTGTGACTCCGTGGTACAGCACTTGCCTAGCTCGTACAATATTCTGGGTTCCATCCCCAGAAGCACTGGGAAAGTGTGTGTGTGTGTGTGTGTGTGTGTGTGTGTGTGTGTGTGTGTGTGTGTGTGCACAAAGGCCATGTTTAAAAGTCCAACAGAGAAGTGTGACAGGCCACACAAACAGTGCTGAGGACACAGTCAGTTCCCAAAGAAAGGTGCTTGCAAGCATTTTAAATGAAAAACAAAAGCTTCCAAAGTACAGCAAAAGGTCACAGTCCCGACCTGGACTCCAGGAGTTTTCCAAGGGAGTAGGCACCGTTCTGGTCAGTATTCATAACTGTGACATCCTGGCAGAGGCGGGCACGGGTACTCACCCAGATAGCTGAGGGCAACCGGCAGGAAGACCAGACCATGCAGCAGGCCCAGCAAGGTGATCAGGAGGTTGAGGCGGAAGAAGAAGATCTGGATGAGCTGGGCATGAGCAAAGCCCAAGATGAGGATGCCTGGGAAGTTGGTCATAGCCACTCCAGCAAACACCTGGGTGGAGTGGGGGGGGGGTCTTAGCCAGGAGTCCAGCAGGACGAAAGGGTCAGGTGGAGCACAGGATGACCCACCCCTCTCCACTCACCGCACTGCCCATGGAGGCAGTAGCATCCTTGGCCCTCTCCAGCCGGGTAGGCTTGGTGCTTATAGCAAAGGACCGGGTGATGTGGGACACGAACTCCACAGACATGCCCACTGCCTATAGGCGGACAGGGGAACTTCAGCTGACAAGGTAGAAGACAGGGAAGAGGCCAGGCAGGTGTCTAGAGCCTACACAGAACCCGGGGGGGGGGGGGTAGCTTATGGGTTCAAATCCCCAACCGCCAAAGGCCACCAAAGGCCACCTGTGACCCAACCTGCAGGTTACCGTGACAAGGTTGATGAGGGACACAGCGTTGTAGCTGATACCCCACACGGCCATGAGGCCGATGGTGTCCACGAGGATCATGATGATGGAGAGCAGGTTGAGGATGCCCGAGCGCATGTCCAGGCCCAGCAGGAGGTAGCAGACCACAAAGGTGGGCACAAAGCAGAGAGCGAGTGTGAAGATTCCCTCGGGGAGAACAGTCAGGTACTGCTGATAGAACACATTGGAGATCCTGCCAGAGAGCAGGGCATGGTCAGAGCGCCCGCCATCAGGGGGGAAGGACATCCCACCGCAGAAGGGAAACATTAGACTTAGGGGTTTGAGCTGGATGCTGACCCGTGTGAGAAACGGGCAAGCCCCGAGCCATCCCAGGGGACACCAGAGACAACGGCGGTCCTCATCCCTCAAGATCATTCAAAAGCCGGCAGCCCCCCAACACCTCCCACATCCCTGACCCAGCCCCCCCCCCCCCCGCCAGGTCTCACGTGTAGGGGAAGACCTCAAAATTTGGGTCTGTCCCAGGCACTTTCCGGAGTTCAGCTGTGATATTGGCTGCTAGCAACCGGGACGTCCGGAGAGCTTCTGTGAAGTCCTGTGAGTTCCTCAGGGGCTTGTGGTAGGCCATGAACTGGGAGGCTGAATGACCCCAGCACATAAGAGAAGGAGAGTCAAAGGTCCCCCCCCCACTCCCATATCCCAGAGACAGTGACATTGGCATGATCAGACTGGGTTCAGGGTTCTGCCAGTGCTGCCTGAAAGTCCTAATTGATTTTCTACAAGATACCTGCATTTTCTTAGTTATTTTTAATGTGTACGAGTGTTTTGACTGCATGTGTGTCTGGGCACCACATGAACTCCTGGTGCCCATGGAGGCCAGAAAAGGGCACGGGATCCCCTGTAACTGGAGTTAAAGGCAGTTGTGAGCTGCCATGTGGGTGCTGGGAGTCAGACTCGGGTCCTCTGGAAGAGCAGCCAGTGCTCCGAAACTCTGAGCCATCTCTCCAGCCCCAAGGCCTGCATTTGCACTTTGTATCAGCCACACACACACACACACACACACACACACACACACACACACACACACACACACCTAGCTGCTCCTGCCACTCTTTGAGACCAAGACTGACCTTGACAGATGAAGCCTAAAAGATCATCCTTGGGGACTGGCTGCTCTTCCAGGGGGTCCTGAGTTCAATCCCCAGCAACCACATGGTGGCTCACAACCATCTATAATGAGATCTGGTGCCCTCTTCTGGCCTGCAGGCAGAACACTGCGTACATGTGTACATCATAAATAAATATTTTTTAAAGAAATCACCCCTGCATACCTAACCTATAACCCCAGTACCCCAGGCTGAGGTAGGAAAATTACTGCAAGTTTGAGGCTGGTGGGGGCTAGAGAGTGAGAAACCAAATCCTTTGTATGCTTTCAAAACATGCACTGGATTTTACATAGAAAGTTATAGACTAATGTGGGCTATGTGACACCCTGTCTAAAAAAAAATTAATTTTTCAGTTTGCCTATTCCTATAGAAACAGACTAGAAAGGCAGACAGGCAAACAAAAATGAGTGAATTATTAGAGCGGTGGCTTAGGGATCCTGCCAATAAGTACAATAAACAACATTTGCTAATTGTGTTCAGTAGGTATTGTGTCAGCATAGGAAGTGAGGCCATGCACACACAGGGAAAACACAGACAGATGAGACACAGTCTTAGTGTACTAGGCGCCTGTGAAGCCTGGTGTCAGACCTGAGCACCTGCAGGTAGCTCACAGCCAGAGGGACAGTCATCCCCATCCAGGGACATGGTCTAGCAAGTCTCAGGCAGGGCTTGGGCATATCTAACCATTCCCTGATGATGCTGATTCTGGTGTGTGTGGGGGGGTGGGGTTCCCTCCAAGAAACAACCCACACCTCTGTCCTTGACACCCACTTCCTTTTGTCCACATGGGTTCTGTACGCCTTTGCTGCCTAGAGATGCAGACCAGGGTAAGGTGGGCTGCCTGCCCTCTTGGAAGATAGGGACGTTATAGAACAGTTAGCTGGGAGGATGGAATGAGCGTGCTACAGTTTGTAGCCAGTAATTCCAACTCTTGAGTTGTTTCAGTAAGAAAGGAAATCATTCAAAGCTCCCCCATCTCCCACAACGGCTCCACCAGGGTACTCAACACTGGCATGTACAGATGTAACTACAGCTGGCTGCCTCCCTGCAGAGGGCTGTCTGGTTCTGCTACCTGCTGTGTTACGCTGCCAGCACGCTGGATCCTTCTCCCCGCCACCCCCACCTCATCCCACTACACAGAGGCCTCCTACCTCATTTAGCCATCCGCTGCTGCCGACATCCCCACGTGAGATACACGCGAGTGACTATGTGTCAAGGTGAGTAGCTCCCAAGTATGACATGAGCTGTTAGAAAGGCTGCCACCCATTCACAGTGGCCATGGACTTCGGGTCAAAGAATGGGTGAAGACCTAGCTCGTGGAGCTGGGAAGTAGGTTCCCCGCTGGCAGACCCAGGACAGTTACACACACACACACACACACACACACACACACACACACACACACACCAGACACCAGACACACACAGACCCAGGACAGTTACACACACACACACACACACACCAGACACCAATCAGACACATACACAGGCGCTCTCTTGGGGGACTCTACAGCAGCTAGCTGACTTGAGACCTCCTCCCCAAACTAGGCCACACTTACCTATAACCTGGCCATCTGCGCTCAAATTCACGGAGGTTCTATACGCTGCTAGACCCCTGCCAAGAGGAGGCCAGAGTCAAGGCTTAGTGGGGATGAGACCTTGTCCTGTCAACCCGCCCACCGTACCCCAAGGAGGTCTTGCACCCCTCTGCCCACCACCTCCAGAACCCACAAGTCTACCCCATCTCCAGCAGGAGTCACTCTCTGAACCTACCCTTTGGGACATCTGATGTTGGGTGGGTCGTTCAGGAACCAGGGCAGGTACTTGTGAAACTGTTCCGCCGTGGGCCTCACGGGGCCCAGAGTGAAGTCCATGCAGTTTTTTAAACAGTTCAGGGAAGCTGCAGGGAGGGAGGGGAGACTCTGGGCAGTGACACACCGGACAAGGTGACCCCTGTCCTGACTCCCACTCGGTGCCCCAATCCAAAGTCCCCCGTTCTGAGGGGTTCACACCTGCCACCCCCTGTTGGGGGAGCTGTGCCCCTCTTGGTCCCTGCAGGCTGGCAGGAAAGGGAAGTTAGGTCAAGAAATGGGTTGTCTCAGAGCCGTATACCCAGCACCCCCACATGCGGGGTTATAGCTCCACTCCAACTCCACTGCCCACTGCCCCCAACCAGCACGTGCTACAGGCAAAGGCATCATCCTCCAGGAGCTGCACAGGGATGAATCCCAAGGCCTAACCTGCCTGAACCCCTATTTAGTGGGTTCTTTCTTTTCTCTTGCCTCAGTTTCCCTAAGCTGTAATGGACCATGAGCCCCCTGCAGTCCCACACTCACTATCGGTTGAAGGACAGAAATCACCCTTATTGGGGCCGAAGCTATAAAGGCGGCAGCAGGAGGATGGGGTTAGCCAGTCGATGAAGTCGTCTACCCAGGAGGACGCAGCAATTGCCAGGTAAGACCTGCAGCCAGACAATGGGAAGTGGGGAGAGCCAGGGAACCCCATGGTGACTCCTTCCTGACCCCTGCCCTGGGCCGCCTCTGGCTTTGTTAGCCACAGGAAGAGAAAACAGGAGAGGAGGCAGAGAGGGAGCAAGTCGGGGTGTTGGGGAGACCAGCCACTTACTGCTCAGGGAATTCGGTGGCATACTGGATCTTCTGGGTTAGGGAGAAGCTGTCACAGCCCGCACTGGAGCAAATGGCATTCATGCCTGCCTCGCTGGAGAAGTTGTAGCCTGAGGTGGTGACAAAGTACACCGGAGGCCCCACTTCAAAGTACCGGTTCAGATAGAGGAAGTAGTCTATCAAGTAGGAGTCCTGGGAAAGATGAGAATCTGTGAGTCTCAGGAGACCGTATGCACCCATAATGGCCTTGCCCCACTTCATACAGAGGTACATGCTGAGAAGTCTGTGCAAAGGCACCTGCTGGGGTAAATGGAGAGGTATACAGAGGAACACATTCAGTGGTACACACACAAGGCAGACGCTCAGACGTATGCACACAGATACACGCTCAGATATGCGTGCTCAGAGGCACATGTAAATGAACTTGCTCAGAAGTATACAGAGTGCATGCACACATACATACAAGATACAGACGGAGGTACACACAGAACTGTGTACTTAGAGGAACAGGCCCTGATACACACAAGAAGTACACACCAAGATACACACAGAGAGGTCCCAGGAGACAGCAAGTAGACCGATATTTGCATTGTAAGAATTTCAGAAAGAGAAGAAAAATGAAAGGAACAGATTATTTGAAGAAATAATAGCCCAAACTCCCCCAAATTGATGAAAGACATAATACAAACACTAGAGGAATTCAGCAAGGTCTAATAGAACAAACTCAAACAAATCTAGCCCAAAGCACTTGGTTATGCCCTGTCAAAAGCCAGCATCAAAGGGCACTGGAGACAACCCAAGAGAAATGGCTTGTCACAAGGGAGGGATACGACTCGCATTGGTTTCCACATTTCTCATCTGCAACCTTGAAGAAGGTGGATTTATACATTCAAAGTACTAAAGGGAAAAAAGAATCTTACTTCCAGCAAAACTGTCCTTCAGAGGGGAGGGCTAGGGATGACACTCGGGGTGAGCGCGCATGCCTGGCATGCAGGGAGTCAGTGGCTTAGACCTAGCGTGGTGGCGCACACCTCTAGTCCCGTGACTTGAGAGACTGAGCCAGGCGATCTCTGTGAGTTCAAGGCCAGCCTGATCTATGTAGTAAGTACGTAGCAAGGCAGGGTTTCATAGTGAGACCCTGTCTCAAAACTAAAAGTGTAGGAGGATGTGGTTCTTAGAAGAAACTAAAACATAAGTAAACAGAAACACATCCCGTGTTCATGGTCTGGATGACAAATATTGTTCCAGTATCAGTACTACCAAAGCAAAGCCATCTAACGATTCAGTGCAATCCCCGTGCATAAATACCAATGACAGTTTTTGAAGAAATCTAAAAATTTCAAGCTAAATTCAAATATAATCTCTAGAGAACTCAAACAGACCAAGAAGTCTTGACAAGGAATAAATTTGAGAGACTCACACTTTCTGATTTGAAATTTGACTAATATGCGTGGTGGTGACCCATTACTTGAATCCCAGCACTCAGGAGGCAGAGGCAGGTGGATCGCTGTGAGCTGGAGGCCATGTTCCAGGACAGGCTCCAAAGCTACACAGAGAAACCCTGTCTCGTAAAACAAAACAAAACAAAAAACCCAAAAAAACAAAAAGCAAAAGCAAATTGAAACAATTATAAAGCAGGCAGCAGTGCTGCTGGGAGTCTTGAGAGACCAAAGCAAGAGGACAGGGCGTTTCAGACCATCCTGGGCTACAGAGTGAGACCTGGCCTCAGCAAGACAAAAGAATCCACCACTACAAACAGATACTACTTGTACCCTGTACTATGACTGGAGAGACAGAGACAGAGAGACAGAGAGAGGAAGGAAGGAAGGAAGGAAGGAAGGAAGGAAGGAAGGAAGGAAGGAAGGAAGGAAGGAAGGAGGGAGGGAGGGAGGGAAGGAAGGAAGGAGGGAGGGAAGGAAGGAAAGGAGAAGGGAGGGAGGGAGGGCGGAAGGAAGGAGGAGGAGAAGGACAAAGAGAAAGAGAAGAAGGAGAAGGAGGAGGAGGAGGCGTAGGAGGAGGAGGAGGAAGAAGAAGAGGGAAGAGGGAAGAAGAGGAGGAGGAAGAAAGAAGAAGACTAAGACAAAGCAAGTTCCAGGACAGCCAAACAGAGCTGTTTGTTACACAGAGAAAAACTGTTTCAAAACAGACAAACAAACAAAACGGACAGCGGGGTATGACTTTATAGCTTACTATAAAGCACTTTCCCAACAAAGTGGGAGATCCCAGATTTGATCCCAACACTGAAAAAAAAAACACAGACAAATAACAAATGTTGGGGCTGGTGAGTTGGCTCAGCAGTTAAGAGCACTTGTTGCTCTTCCAGAGGACCCGGGGTTCAGTTCCCAGCACCCACAGGACGACTCACAACCATCTGTAACCTCAGTCCCAGGGCATCTGACACCCGTCTTTCTGATTTCTGCAAGCACCCAGCACCCACATGACACATAAACCAAACAAGCATCAGTGAGGAATTCACACAGAAGGAAATAGCAGTCCCTGTGTAGATAGCCACACAGAGAGACCTCCGATACAGGGCGTCTATTATGGCCTGAGCCAGCACTCAGCCCTTGCAATTAATAAACATGGATGTAGTTTCCGCATGGTGCCAAGCCTTGTCTCATGTGTCCTCCCAAAACAAAACCACCCTCTGGCACTGCTGCCCCTCCCAGGTCTCAGGACCAAGGGCTGAGAAGAGGAAGCTCACCTCGGGCAGAGCCAGTTCCTGGTCCAGCCCCACACTGATGTGGCACATGAGGTAGAGATTTGCTCCAAACAGGGTCAGAAACAGCAGCAGCTAAGGGAGAAACTGGCACATGAGAACCTCTCCCCAAACAGCCTCCATCTTCCCCCAAACTTGAATGGCTTTGTTGGGGATTCTGGGAAACACCCTGGAGTTGGACAGACTCAAGCTCTAGCCGCAAGTATCCGCCCTGGACCTGGGCAGCCACCCCACCATGCTCCTTCCGGTCTTTCTCCCAAAGTGGCACAGCCCCCCCCCCCCCCCCCCCCCCCCCGCCCCTCAGCCCACGTACCACAACAGGTCGGGTGAAGCCGTGCAGCAGGAAGGGAGCGTATATCTTCCGGAAGAAGCGGAGTAAGAGCCCCTCTTTTTGTTCAGGTTGGGGTAGTTTCCCCTTCGAAAAGCAGCATAAGAAGTCGGGGCGAGAGGCCTAGAGAATGACAACCTCTCAAGACCAGGTCCAAGGCAGACCCCAGGAACCACCCCACCCAGGGAAGCCCCAGAGATGGCCACTGCTATTTTTGTTGCTTTTATTTCCTGCCTTAATCAAATACTGAATTTTACATCATTAAAAAACCACCAGCTTGACTTCTGTTAATGTTATAATTTATTTTGTAAACCTACATACTTTTAGGAGGTTTGATTATACTCCCAAAAATAAATTCTCTTTCTGTGGGAAATGACAGAACACAGAGCCCAAACATCCTCTGTCAGAATAATGCTTCTGCCCCCTACCCAGCTCTCCTGGCTATCTCTGTGGTAGTAATGCCACATCTTCCAGTGAATGTGGGGACCCAGGCAGGGTAAATCCCTTGGTCCTGCTCTAGTTGGCGTTACCTCTTGCCTCTTGCTATCCAGGGAGAGTAGGGCCACAAAGGCAGTCATCTGGAGCAGGAAGTCGAGGATAATCGCTAAGCCAGCGGTCAAGGCAAAGGTCCTCACAGCTGGCATGGGGGTCAGGGCCCCTGTTGAGGGCACAGAGTCTGTCAGATCATCCTGGCATGGCGGGCCAGATGTCAGCACAGACGGTTTAAAACAGGAAATGCCCACTGCCTTCTGAGAACCTCGCCCCCACACAGACTAAGCTCCTGTGCGGGGAAGGACAGCCCTCGCTCACCTAGAAAGAAGCAGATGGCCTCGGAGAGGCTGCACAACAGCATGCTGGGGGCCACACTGCCCAGCGTCCGGCCGATGTGAGCCTCTCGCTCTTCCCCAGGCTTCCTAGGCAGCCTCTGTGCGGGCAAAGAGAGGGACTTTAAAGGCCTGCAGCAGGTTGGTGAAGGACTTAGCGTCCTGGCCAAATCTGAGGAACTGCCAGACCTTCTGGAGACAGAAGAGCCTCCTAACAACTCACAGCCACACTTTCTGCTTCTGTGTTGTGGCCTGAAGAACCACTCAGTGTGTAGTAGATATGAAAGGACCAAGCATCCTTGTCACTAAGCTCTTGACAGCAAAGAGGTGTTATAGGGACTCTGGTTTGTGCTTGCCATGGGATACCACACGCAGTAGTGTAAGGCAGGAAGGAGGCAGCTCTAATACACGAATACAGAAAGCTCACTGGACAGTGTATGTGTTCAGCTGAAAGCAAGTTCAAGATGACACGAGAAGTCTGAGTGAATTTGTGTCAATCCAGGCTACTTCCTACACGTAGAAGGCTGCAGAGAAGAGTCTTCAAGAATGCCAGCAACTCTGTGTGGCCTTCGTCTAATGAGGATGTTGGGTTGCCGGTGGGTATGAAAAGCCCCTCCCTTCTTACCTGGTACTCAAGAACAAAGATGAAGATGTTGTCCGCTCCCACGGCCAGCACCAGGAAAGGTACCACTTGGATGATAACCAGAGAGGAGGGGACACCCAGGTAGGAGTAGAAGCCCATGGAGGCCACGACTGCTCCCAACACGACAGCCACCCCACCGAGGCCCAGAGTCGCCTTGGAATCCACCTGCAATGCAACTAGGTTCAGCCGGTTGGCTACCAGAGCACCTGCCCGGACCCTCCTTATTCCCCAGGTTGGGTGAGGAGCCGAGGGTACTCTTGGTGTTCACAGGTGCTCAGTGCCTCCCACCTCAATAAAGAACCCATATGTGTGTTAAGGTCTCTATGCTAAACCATCCTCCCTGGGGCAGGCCCGTGGCACCCAAAAGTGCAGGTGTGTCTGGCTGCATCTTCCTAGAACTGTGTTGCATGGCCTTTTAAAACGGTAGCTTAGCGTGTGGATCGTGGGGCTATGTTAGAGGGCAGGAAGAAAACTCTGGGCCTTTCAACACAGCGCACACCCGAGAAGTACTACCCTTTGAGGGGTTTTCTTGGAACGTGTCTAACTTGCTATGTTGAGGAGCCCTCGCTACTGAACGCTTTAGAAGGCCCTCTGGAGATGTCCTGGGCTCTGAGTCCCGCTTGCTCTGCCCCTCCCGCTCTCACCACTATTCGGCTGCATTTGGAATAGCTGCCCAGGGCCAGGGAGATGTACAGGAAGACGATAATGTAGCTGATGGCGAAGACAGGCAGGTCCTGGATGGTGGTGCGGTTGATCTCATCCTCCAGAGAGCGCTATGAGGACACAAACAGGTCACTGGCCACATACTGGGTCTCTTTGGTGAGTGGCCCCGCTGAGGCTCTGGGGTACTACAGGAGCCTCTAACACAAGCACTGCATCAGGGTGGGCCCAGGCTTTCACTGCCCAGGGCCGTTCAGGAACAAGTACGGCCAGGATGTGCATTTGACTGGAATTGGCCCAAGATGATTAGGGATGGCAAACATGGAACCAGGAACTCTGCGGGGGGGGAGGGGGGGGGGCCGGTGTGTGTGTGTCCCTACCTCAGCTGAGAATGCAATTCGGAACTTGTCAGCCGTGCTGTTCTGAAAGTCTTGCATTTCCTTCAAAAAAGCCTCCTCCCAGAGCTTAGCCTGGGCCATGCGGGGATCATCCGCGGGGTAGTTATTGAGCGAGAAGGTCATGACCAGCGCCTCCGCCTCGGAGTAGTCCGTCCCTGGGAAGAGAAACTCTGAGCCTCCCTCCTAGTACACCTTTGCCCCTCAAGTTGTGCCCTCCCCCCATTCCTCCTCCTCTCCTGCTTCCCCACCCCAACAATAGCCTTACCCAATGCCCCAATTCCCTTTCCCAGCACAAAACCAGGGCTCCCAGGCAGCATTGAGAGATGAGGGGAGGGGCTGGAGAGATGGCTCAGCCATTAAGAGCACTGGCTGTTCTTTCCAGGGGTCCTGAGTTCAATTCCCAGTAACCACATGGTGGCTCACAACCATCTATAGTGGGATCTGATGCCCTCTTCTGCAGATAGAGCACTCATATACAAAAAATAAATTAATCTTAGAGAGAGAGATGAGGGGAATGGCAGAGGGGAGGTGGGAAGCATCCTCTGCAGCCCCCTTAAGCCAGGTCCCCAGGTACTGGAAACACTCATCACACCCATCACCATGGCCTCTCCCTTCTGCCTATTATTCCTGCCCCCAAGTTGCCCCTTCACTTACCTTTGTACCCCCCGACAGCAAGGAAGGGGAAGACAGGGGCGCCGTAGTCAGCGATGCAGCTCAGACCCAGAGACGTGCCATCTTTGAATGTGAGAGGGGCACTAGAGGGGAACCACAAAGGGAAAGAGACTTTCCTGTCGCTGCCTGGTCTCTTTGGCCCCACCCTACCCCGGGCCCTCAACTCCCTGAGTGAGGAGCAAAGGCTTCAGACTGCCTGGCCCAGAGGGTTCAAAATGACCATCTTTCCATAAGGTGGTCTACTGTGGTCCCCCAGTCCATAGAACGAGGTAGGGGCTGCCTCAGGTGTCCCCCTTGGACGGGTACTGTCTCTCTGTGCTTCACATTTCCCCTTCCAGACCTGTCGTTACCTCAGCTCCAAATGAGCATCCCAGTTAAGTGAGAAAGCCCAGATGTGAGCCGTGACCATTTGCACAGGTCCTGCTGGTCTTCGTTTTCTCCCTCCCAGAGCCTGAACCCTCCAAGTGTTCAGTTGAGCCCTGGAGCTCAGAGCCACGTGTCTACAGCTACCCAGCCAGTGCTCTCGGACAGGCTTGTCCTCTTCCACGGAACCCTTTCTACAGAGCACAAAAGCTCTTTACACACATTCTCGGCTCTGAGGCGTGTATCAGTCAACAGCACCATCTAAGAGAGCCAGATTGCTGTGTGGCCTGAAGCAGCTTACCCGGTCTCCCTGAACCTCAGTTTTCCAGTGTGTGAAATAAGCACAATCAGCTCACCAAGAGTTGCGAGCATCCAACATCAAAATAAAGACGGTACCAGCCAGGCATGATAACATAGGGCTGCAACCTCCATTACTCAGGAGGCTGAGGGAAGAGCGTGAATTTGAGGACAGCCTTTCAAATAGTGTGACTCACGATCTTCAAACAAAATCAACAAGAGCAACAAAAATCACGCAGCATCTCGGATGGCTGATCTCCGATGCCTCTCCATGGCCCCTCTCTGTTCTGCTGTCTTGGAGAGATATCACAGACACCCAAGAAGCAGCCCGCCCTTGACACTCAGCTGAGGATGGACAGACAGCCAGTAGCATGGAGAGACAGCAGAGGCTTCCTCCTTTGATCTAGGGAATCTTAAAGAATGGGAGGCCTGGGCTCTGCAAGGTCAAAACTGTTTTCATAACAGCACTCGTGCCCTTGGGTGCTATAGCCCTCACCTGCCCTTGGGTGTAGGGTTGGGGGGAAGATGACCCTTTGGGGCCCTTCAGGCTCCACTCCTTTCTCCAGGAGTCCCCACCATTCCTGGCCCTCTCGCCACCCTTCCCTTGGCCCAGTGGCCTTGCTGGCATCCTGTTTATACCACCCAACAGGGGCAAAGCCAGAAGCAGAACCTCAACGGCATCAAGGTGTGGGTGAAACTGCCCCAGAACACCTGGTCTGATGCCTGGGACCAGAGACTAGCCGAGTGTTGGCCAAGTCCAAATGAACTTATTTCTAGCCAGTTCCTAGGCTATCAAAGGCCCTACAGATCCTGACAGAGTCGAGAAAACAAAATAGTACAAGCATAAACACTACCTGAGCCATCACCTGGGGATTTAAACTAAGACTACACCAAGGGCAGAAGAGAGGATTCAGTGGCTAAGTGCTGTTCTTGCAGAGGACCAGAGTTCGGCTCTCAGGATCCACCTGGCGGTTTACAACTGACCTTAACTCCAGTTCTTGTGAATCTAGCAACCTCTTCCGGCCTCTGCGGCATTGAGCACATATATAAGCCATGCGTATACATACAAAAAATATTTGTTCATATGAAATTAAAATAATTCTAAAAATTATTAAGACCACAGTAGGGGGCATCGTGGACAGAAAAACCATATGGACTGGAGTTGGAGGGACTATCAAGACAATATACTTGCAGAGACCAGGGATAAGATGGGAGCCAGCTCTGAGAAGAGAGACTCAAGGAGACTCCGGCACACAATGGCCCTGGTGGGCACACGTAGGGCTCTCCCTGACTCTGATGGAGCTGCATTCTGGCCTGGTTCTCAGGGGCGGGGGCATAGCAGCTCCCACCTGCTCCCCTCAGATCTACTCACTTTGCACAGTAGAGGAAGTGGTCCCTCCAGTCCACCAGCGAAGTCTGGCCACTGAGCGTCTGGTTGGCCGTGAGGAGCAGGAGCGTGCGGTTGTTCTGGAAGTACTGAAGGAAGCTATTGACACAGCAGTCAGAGAGGCTGGTGTTGTGCGGGTTGAGGGGGGCGTAGCAGATGTCCTGCAGGGAGATGTTTCGCTGTGCCTCGGGGGACCACACCTGCAGCTGCCGAAGCCTCTCTTGGAGCTCCAGCAGGTCCAGCAGCAGGTCCAGGGACAGGATCCCGCTGAAGTTCTTGGGCCCTAGCAGCAGGGAGTCGTACCTATAGCTGGACCTGTTCCGAGCCGTCACAAAAACCTGGTTGGTTCGAAAGAAGGGCCCAAAATGCTCGTCGTGGAAAGCCTTCTCTTCCCGGGCTTGGCTTCTGGGGGCCGACCAGAGTTCCACGGGGTCGGTGGTGAGTTCTATATACATCAGGCCGACTGACAAGGCGATCACAACCACTAAGGACAGTGCCAAGACGGTGAGTGGCCATGAGGCCACCCTTGTGCCCCAGCTCTGGAAAAACCGGCCAAGGACAGTATGAGGTGAGAATTTTCTCTTTTGAGGGAGGTTGGGGGCTTCCTGGGGGCCTGTTGTCTTGCCCTTGTTCCTGTTAGAAACCACTCGGAGACGCACAAGGATGGCAGTGAGCAACACAAAGACCAAAGTGAAGATAATGATGAGAGCCAGCCAGCCTGGCATTTTACCCATGTAGAAGGAAGGGCTCAGGGCTGGGGGCTGAGGAATGACAGGGCACGACGCTGCACAGTCCTGGCAGGAACAGGCCGCCAAGTCTGCACCCTGGGTCTCATTGCAGGGTGTGATCTCCCCATTCAGAGGCTGCATCCCATCCGGCAGGGCCTGGCCAGGCTCCAAGAGGTGGAAGGTGATGTCCAGAGGAGCCAGGCCATTCCCTGTGTCTCCCTGGAAGTTCAGCCAACGCTGGGCATTGCAAAGGGCAGAGCCGTACACCCCACACATGGTGCCCACGGCCAGTGATGCAGCCGCAGGGATGCGTACCCGGCTACAGGACTCATAGGCCTTCTCTGCAAAGCTGCGCTGGTAAAAGGCTTCATAGGCCACCACAGCTGGACGCTGCCCGTCGCCCCGCTTAGCCACACGGGTGACATTGATGAAGAGGCTCTGGTTAGGGCTGCAAGTGTTGTGGCAGTGCAAGCTGGCAAAATTGTCAGCGCAGGCTGGGCAGCGGGTGAGGAGGGCCTTGGTGATGGACATGCTCTTTTCTAACGACACCAGCTGATCGGCAGAGCAACAGGCAAAGGTGTCGTTGTCGCCATTGTACAGGCGGGGACAGATGCGCTGGAGGAGGGTCAGTTGGGCACCTGTGACAAGCTGGGCCGGGGTATTAGACAGGCAAGATACATTGGACAGTGACGTGAGGCCTCCAGACAGCTCTGGATTCTTCCCACACTCGTCATAAAAGGTGCAGAAGCCAGCCTTGTGAATGGGTGTGTATATCTCACCCTGGGCCTGCAGAGAAGACCAATAGCACCCATAAGCCCTCAGGATGGTTGACCTAGCCGAGCAGTCTCTGGGCAGTGAGAGGCCAGAGAGTGCATGGGAAGAAAGGACACCAAATAGGAGGCTGGGAGAGCTATGGGGAGGCTCGTGGGGCATGTGCTGTGCTTAGGGCGCCATGGAGGAGAGACACTCTCCCGGTGGACAGTGATAGGGTTAATCAGAAAAGGAAGTGATCGGATAGAGTGTGGCTTACACAGGTCACCGTGCAGAGGAGATGGAGAGGTGGAGGGACCCTCCTGCTGGCAGCCCGAGTCTCTAGGCTGTACTCCACACCAAGGCCAGGGTCCCCTGTAAAGGGTCTGTCCAAGAGCCTCCTGTCCCACATCCTGCATTACCAAATGCTATCACCCACCTCTGAGAACAAGCCAGGATGGTAACAAGACCTCCTCCCACAGCCCGAATATGTAAGGTGATGTTCACCTAGGATCCACCTCTAGCACCTGACTCAGTCCCCCACTTAACCACAGGCAAAGGCCCCATGCATCTGCCTCTCTGACCCCCTGTCCCTTCAACCCCTTCATCTGGAGACCGCTCCACCAGCACTTCCCTGTGGGCATGGGAAACCTCCCACGGCTGTGTGACCCTGCGTCGATAGCAGGTACCCAGCTTGCCTTGCCCTTAATGAGAGGCACGAAGAAGTAGCCACGAGCAACAGACTTACTGAATTCAGGAGTAGGGCCCAGAGCAGCCATCCCTGCAGGCCAGCTGCCATCCCAGGTCCAGGAAGTGATTAAAGAAAAGTAGGTCCAGGTCTCAGGGACAGCTGGGGAAAGCTGAGGCCTGGCTCCCGAAGTTACACATTAAGGCAGCTTCCTCCTCCTAGTGACAACCTTCGTCTGGCAAGTGGGGACCAATAGGGCTGTGCACTTCTGGTTAATGATTCACATGGTCTGTCCCCTCCTATCAGATGGCTCCATTCCACGTACCCCCTTCTTGGTAAACTTCCTAGTGACGGTGCTAGGGTCCCCCTGAAGCCTAATGTGGCTGGAGCCAGCTGGACAAGAGATGCAGGGTTGTACTTTCACTAGACCGGGAGCTGGCCTGGTTTTGGCCTTGGGGGATAAACGGAGCCGCAGAACGTCAACACTATCCTGGACTTGGCCTCCAACTTGCACTCTGACCCATTGCCTCTTCAGACCAACATCAAGGATAAGCTCAGACTCACCTCTGTCATCCTAGCAACGGAATCATTGATATTAGCACCGAGATAATAATGAGACACTGAGGGTAAAGTAATTCAGTGACAAAAGTCCCTTCAGGATCTGGCGGGACAGAGACCAGAGATCCCTTTGATCCTCTACTCTTCCTCCACACTCCTGCTCTGTCTGTTTCTTGGCCCTGGCCCTGGCCTAGACCACTGAACAACTCTGGTTAGGCGATCTGGGTGGCAAATCCCACCCAACCCGGGCCCAGGTACATGGTTTGCCTTCTGCTTCTTTCCAGTAGGAATCTTCCAGTCTTTCCTTGGACTCTTGCTATCGCCAAGATGGGTCAGGACATTGGCCCCTATTGCCAAAGCTGAGCTACTGATAATTGCCGCAAGGCCATTCATGAGGCTTACCTGCCAGACAGATGCAGGGAGGGGCCTCATCATCATCATCTAGTGTTCCATGGACTCTGGTGGGCTCAGAGGGGAGCTGCCCAGGCTTAGGTAGGGAACAGCAGAGGCTGAGGAGAAAGCTCAGGACCAGCAGCGATAACCCCACCCAACACCTCCAGGTTCTCTTGTTGCTCCCTGGATGGTATCCGCTCACTTCTGAGTTTGTCTTGAGTGTTTTCATTTGATTCCCCCAGATGCAGACCCTGGGACAAGGACCCTAGGACAAGCACTTGACTTGGAAGGTGACTTCAGGTTACAACAGTGGGGTGAGCAAGCAAAGGACCATGGGATATGAGGAAACCGATGAAGATGCATTCCAGACCAGCTCCTGGGGGGCTGGAGAGATGGCTCAGCGGTTAAGGGCACTGGTTGCTCTTCCAGAGGTCCTGAGTTCAATTCCCAGCAACCACATGGTGGCTCACAACCATCCATAATGAGATCTGGTGCCCTCTTCTGGCCTGCAGACATACAGACAGAACACTGTATACATAATTATTATTATTAATAATAATAATAAAAGACCAGCTCCTGTCCCTGAGACCTCCAGGACATAGAGGGGACCACCCCTAGAAGACCCCTCCTCGACCCGTTCCCCCAGCCTGCCCCCCAGTGGATAAGGGTGTGGCACTGTCCACACCTACAAGTCATTGATTGAGAACACTCCCCGAAGTCTGAACCTCGGGACATGTAGCCACTGTTTTTCCACATCACAAACCCTCAAAACAAGGAGTTACTACTGGTAGGGACATGGTAGTGTAGGCCTTTAATCTAAGCTCTCTGAAGGCAGAGGCATGTGGATCTCTGTGAGTTCAAGGCCAGCCTGGTCTACAGAGTGAGTTTCAGATCAGCCAGGGCTACAGAGTAAGACCCTGTCTCAATAAAATAAAATAAATTACTAGTCACATGAAAACCCCAATTGCCTAAATGAGACTTAGTGAAGCCCTGCCTTCTATATGTCAGTTCTCATGAGGGTTGCCCAGCTGTGCCCAGCCCAGCACCAGACAGGGTCCAGATCTGTGGTCTGAGTTCTTTTTTTTTTTTTTCTTGACAGGGTTTCTCTGTGTAGCTTTGCACCTTTCCTGGAACTTGTTTTGTAGACCAGGCCGGCCTTGAACTCACAGCGATCTGCCTGCCTCTGCCTCCCGAGTGATGGGATTAAAGGCATGCGTCACCACCGCCTGGCCTGAGTTCTTTTCTGAAGCCCAAAAAAGGCATGAGAAGCCAGGCGGTCGTGGCGCATGCCTTTAATCCCAGTACTTGGGAGGCAGAGGCACAAGGCCAGCATGGGCTACAGAGTGAGTTCCAGGAAAGGCACAAAGCTATGCAGAGAAACCCTGTCTCGAAAAACAAAAAAGAAAAAGAAAAAAAAAAAGGCATGAGAACTACACAATCACACTGAGGACACTGAGGAAGACTATCACCCAGAATCACCTCCATTACCTGTATGTGGGTCCCTCTAGGCCTTGCCCTGGCACATGGTCATTCATGAGCACGTGACACGGGCATGCACACCTGCTGGTCTCCCTGGGTTTTAACACTCCTTTGCCTTTGGTCTCTGATTAGCAAGTGTATTTGGAATTGTGGTCCACAGAGCGGCGGAGGTTCTCCCTTCCCAACACTGCAGGCTGGACTGGTTGCCAAGATTTCATTATTATAAATAAGAATCCACTCGACCCTTTTGTGTCTAAGATGTGTCGTTGTCTTCCTCTTCTTTTTTTTTTGGGGGGGGGGTGTATCTCCTTAAAATGTGTTCCCAGAGCTGAGATTTATGATTTTATGCATGTTTATGACTCTGAAGTGCAGAGTTCACTATTTCATTCCTCAGGCTAAATGAGGATTATCAGAAGATTATCAGATTCTGTTACTGGTATCCAGCTAAGGGTCAGTCCCAACCCTTACACAACAGACACTCAGTGACGCCAGCAAGCACAGTGTCTCATCACACTCTCATCTAATCGTGCATTATATTTGTCAGGCTTCACTACCATAGTAACTGTAGCATGATAAAAAGATACCTCGGGTTTTGGAGGTAGAGCTTAGTACTGAGACTTGAACCTATGGCTTGCACACGGTAAGCGTGTGCTACACCACTGAACTACACAGCCAGCCAGGAGATCTCGTTTTAACTCATTTTTATTATTCATACAATCACCTATGGCTACGATGTAGTTGCTCAGCAGCCGAGAGCAGCATCTCACACTACGCCAGGGGGCGGCTTGGGGTTGGGGGCAGACAGTCTTCTGGGGCCAGGTCTGAGTGTTTGCTTTGTAGTCTGTGGGAAAGCTTATGTAGGCAGGGCCCGAAGATGTGAAGAAGGTTCACTATCTGGCTTCTCTGTACTCCAGCAGCATGCAGAGATTGGGAGTCCATGTGGAAAGGCAGGGGAGGTGACATTGTCAAGCTAGTCACCCGTGTTATCTTTGCTGACCACCATGAATGTGAGTGGTCATACTTGTGGCTCTTTGCGGGTAACCAGCCTCCCATTGGCATATTCATTTTGCTATCTTCAGAACCAAGATCGTATTTGGTGTGGGGCTGTGCCTGCGGCTCAGAAGAGGGTGCTGCCCCTGTACTCTAAGCCCCCTTTGCCACAGACAGTGGCATGTGATCTATTTCTAGACGTCAGCATTAAATGTGACTTGCATAAAGGTGGGGTACTCAAGCCTTCCCCACTTTTCATACTCTAGACGGAACCCGGATATCTGGCGTTGTAGCAACCATCTTGTGGTACTGAAGTAACAATAAGTAATGATTTTTAAAATCAGGGAGGCTACCTAGCCGGGGGGGGGGGGGGGGGCGCAGTGCCCAGAGGGGGGGGGGGGGGGGGGGGGGGGGGGGGGGACCCTAGGATGACTGTGGCTTATAGTAAGTTTTGGTTTTACCCAATCACTGGGCATGCTTTAGTGAAACATTTCACTATTAGGATAAGAATTTGTACTGTATCAAGCTGATGAAAGAAAAAGCTGGCCATACTTTCAGGAGGGGAGGCTAAAATCTTTTTAGATTATGGATTAGCCTATAGAAAAATGTCTGCCGTAAACCAAACAGTGAAGGGGAAGATGAATAGGAAGCTCACTTACACAACTTAAGTAAAACAGCTCTCTGAACAGATGAAGATAGGTTTCTCCTGTATCCCAGAATCTAATCAATATTTGTATGTATAAATTCAGCTATCATTTGGCTTAAAAGGGCTTATTGGGAAATGTTATCATTTATACTATTTTCTACGGAGAAAATATTTTGCTGTTTAAAATAACCCTGGACTTTTAACCTGTTTTTATGTTCAAAAAATAAATAATTAAAAGCCAAGGTGATGGTTAATAAACAAAAAACAAAAAAAGGTCATTTGGCCGGGCGGTGGTGGCGCATGCCTTTAATCCCAGCACTCGGGAGACAGAGCCAGGCGGATCTCTGAGTTCGAGGCCAGCCTGGGCTACAGAGTGAGATCCAGG